GTCATGTGGCTTGTCCACAGTCTGTGTTAGAAGGGTCTCTGATCCCTGCCCTGATTTGAACTTCATCATCTCTAAGCAAAGAACACCTTTTGAAAACATTTTCAGCTGAGGGCCACCAAGGAGACTATCAAATAGTCTGTCCATCTGCAACACAAGACTTCCATGGGCCCTGGGATGGGAGGGCAGGGCGCCAGCCTTTGCTGCTGCCAGCCCCTGCATTCCTGAACCATGTGGGCACGGGGTAAGTGATGGCCAAATGAATGGGTGGGTGATGAATTAATAGAATGGAATAGTGAACTCCATCGTTTCTACTCACTGTTTCTGCATTATTCTAAGAGGGACACACTGAGAAATTAAATCAGGCCATGGCTATAACAATAGGAAAGGGAGGGAGGAATGGAGGGAGATTACTTCCCGAAAACTTTTCTACCCAATCACACATATTCAGACAACACAATAACCCTGAGAACTCTCCAGTATAAGAAGACCCTGAATGTAGCTTAGGTAGGGGCACCTAAGTGTAAGTGCAAATGTCAGGAATTGTAAGGAGAGAAAGTTAATGCTTAAATGGGAGTAACACGAAGACTGATTGTGCGGACTTCGGCAGTTCATTTACTTAGCAACCAAAGGACACAAATCCCTTCCAATTATAGGTGATGTACAAAGAGTGTGACTTCTTCCATGGTCTTTTCGCCAAATGGGACCACGCTGAATGTCCTCTAACATATGCACAAAATGCAAAATCAACCCGTAAGCACTTGTTGAGCTAAACATGTCTTTTAAAAGTATGTTCTGATGTAGTAAGTAAACTGAAATGCCTAAACCTTAAAAGCTCACATCACAAGAAAAATTCCATAACTATGTATGGTAATGGATGTTATGCAGACTTAGTGTGGTGATCACTTCACAATATATATAAATAATGAATCATTATACTGTATACCTGAGACCAAAATAAATAATGTGGCATGTCAATTATACCTCAGTAAAAGAGAGAGAAAGAGAGAAACTAAAATGCCATTAGTACCACTGAATAGAAAACCTACATTTTCAAGATTATAGATACCAAAGGGCTGATGGGATTATGTGAACTCACTGCAATAATCACTTTGTCCAACTGTTTTACAAAGTAATAGTATTTATACATATATGAATGGCTTCTTTCAGCAAATCACTAAACATGTAAAAGATGCCCACTCTCTTTCCTTAAGTGTGGGGAGCCCAGGTCTGATACTAATCTAAGAATTGGCTCCAGTGCCATTTCTCATCAATGGCGCAGGACAGGGCCGACTGCATCCAAGTGGTGGTAGGAATTGGGATTTTGGTTCTGGAAACCAAAGGACTAAATAGGCTGGCTGCTGTTTTACAAGCACAAGACTTTTAATCGCCTTACTATGGACACAACAGCCCGTTGTTCCTTTGTAGATCACGAGACTTATCCTTGAATAATTAGGCGGAAGAAGAAATCCATTGCATGCCCTGCACCATTTAACTAGGGAAGAAAATGCCACGCCTGAGTTAAGACTTCTAACTCTGTTGTTAAAATGGTACACAATCCTAAACGCCACTGTTTCCATAAACTAGGCAGATAAATTTCCTAGTTTAACTGGGAAATAGATTAAAGTTTAAATTTAGGTTGTATTTTCCTCAGAAACTCCTTTCAGTATTTAAAAACTCCTGAGAAAATACTTTACTAAATTGTACATAAACCTTACTGTAAACACTAGAAAATAGCTGCTTGCCATCTTCAGTCAAAGCTCTAAGAACACCTCAAGTAATCTGACCTAATGAAACCAGAACTTTCCATCATTTAAACGTTTCTACCCACTTCCCATTCTGCTTTTAAGAAAATCCAGGAAATAACAAGAAAACCACTTGATATAAGGATTTGTAAGTAATGATTTCAAAGGGATTGTCTCAGTTTCATGACATTTAGTCCATCTTCATGCAGTTTTTACCAGGGCCAGCTTCTTGGGTGCGGGCCCTGTGCTGTGCGGGATGGGGTCTTAGCCATCATATTAACCCCAGGGCTTAGCACATAGGTAGCTTTCCATGGAAGTTACTTAATTGTGTGGCTCCAACCCAGCAATGCAGTTCAGCGGGCTGCTTTCCTCACACCATTGCCTGTGGGTGCCATCAGCATTTTCTCCTTTACTCCTAACTGTCACTTTCCAGTCACTTCTACCTGTCAGAGGGCTCAGGACAGTCTAGCGGAAGCTGAGGTCACAGTGTCTTCCACCTCTGACGTCCACAGTGCTGCCCAAGGGCGTCCACTCCTGTGCTCTGCGAGCTCCACCCCTTCTTGCAGCCCACCCTGCCCTGGTCACCCCCAGCCTGCCTGTCACCTGGCCCTCTTTCAGGGACGGAGAGGAGAGGGGAGGGTGGGAAGAGCTGGAGGAGGGCCCGCCAAGCTCTCTCCTCAGCCAGGGCTCTCTGTGGCTCCCTCTCTCTGCTTGTGGTCCACATGTTCTCCATTCAGCGTGCACTTGCTGGGGACCTGTCTGGGGATGCCTGCACGGCATCTCCCCAATGTTGGTGATGTACCCTGGGCTGTTTCCTTCACCCCACCCCTGCTGGCGCACCTGCAGCCTGGCCCCACTGCCTTCACTCTGCCCGCAGTTGGTCCCCAGCCCAAAGGCAGGGGCTGGTCCAGCTCCCGCTGCCGCCTCTGCCTGGCCCCAGGCCGAGTACACTCGGAATTTATTCTGCCCCAAACTGACACCAAAAAATCTCTGAAAGGCAGATTTGAAATCTGATGCTTCTGCCAAGCTACTGGTATCTCCATCCAACTGCCACACTCCAGAGAGGCTGCCTGTCTGCAAGGTTGTTTTAAGTCTCGTCTTGCTCTGCATGGTGCCCTTTCCCACAGGGGAAGCCTGTTCATGTAAAGAACAGCCTCCTTTAGGGCAGTGCGAGCGGAAGCGGGCCCAGCACTTGAACTGCATCTTAAACACATCCTGATTCATTAGGCAGCCTCATCACTCAGCCCCTGACAGCAGTGTTGCTGGGAGTCATACTGCCTAAGTGTTGACAGAAAAACTTTTGTTGACCCCTTATCTAGTCTCTCACTTTCCCATTTTTTCCACCTGGTACTGGCAACAAAAGCTTTCATGTATCTTGTGCACCCAATTCCAAGTAAAACACTTTTGCAAATAAACCAGGTCAGATACTAACAGGTTCATACCATGCCTGAGGTTGCAATTAAACATTCAAAAGTGAAGCTGACTCACAGAACCCAAGAAGGGACTAGCAGTTACCAAAGGGAAAGGGACTGGGGAGGGTGGGTGGGAAGGGAGGGAGAAGGGGAATAAGGGGCATTATGATTCGTACACATAATGTAGTGGGGGGGGCACAGGGAAGGCAGTATAGCACAGAGAAGACAAGTAGTGACTCTACAGCATCTTACTACGCTGATGGACAGTGACTGTAATGGGGTATGGGGTGGGGACTTGATAATGGGGGGAATCTAGTAACCACAATGTTGCTCATGTGATTGCACATCAATGATACCCTAATAAAAATAAATAAGTAAAAATCAAAAGTGAATTCCTCAAAATTAAGCTGAAATGTTACATATTTAAATGGTCCTCTTTGCCAGGTCCTGAATCATTGTAGCATTAAGACAAAAGAATGAAGCACATAGGAGACCAAAACAAAAGGCTAGGCTAGAGGATAGGACTTTAATCAGCAGGCAAATTTCCTTTCTAATTAAAAAAGAAAATCCTGAAATGAGATCAATTCAGCTACTATGTCCCAGGCAGAGCTGAGCGGGGGGCACACGTTGCCACATCCTGGAGTAATACGCAAGAAGATATTTACCGCCTGTATGGTATGGCGCTTACCAGTCTCAATAGTGCTCATCTGCGAGCAGCTCGCACAGCCTTCCAGGTGTGAATGCGCACCAATGCAGGGCCTGATTCTGCACTTAGTATAGGGAGTAGCAGAGAAAAACGCCCGCTGTCTGACAGCAGAGCAGCTACTAAACAGTAGGGGACCCACTCCCAGGTTCTCTTTCCCACTCACCAATAAGATAGGTCATTTTACTTCTCAAGGAAAAGAGTGCAGTAGGGCAGAGACAGCGACCTAGGGTGTTACCTTAATCACAAATAAAGATGCAAGAAAACATCACAAATAGAGAAGATTCCTCTGTAAAAAGGGGTAAAAACGTAAAACTGCTAACAGCTGTACTAATGCATTTAAGAAAATAAACAAGGTGCTGTGGTAGATAGCAACAGGGGGTTGAACGTATTCATATTCATCTTCAAAATGAGTGTTATGGACTGATTGGTTCCCCTTCCCCCCAAATTCATATGTTGAAGCCCTAAGCACAAAGATGACTGTGTTTGGAGGCAGAGCCTATCAGGAGGAAATTACAGCCAAATGACATCATAAGGGTGGGGCCCTGATATGGTAGGATTAGTGTCCTCACAGAGAGGAGGCACCAGAGAGCACCTTCTTCTCCAGCCCCACTTTCCCCACTCAACAAAACAAGAGGGCACTGAGCACTCAGCATTGTGGCGGCGCCTGCAAGGCCGAGGAAGAGGCCTCAGCCTGAGCCCTGCCTCAACCTTGGACTTCTCAGCCTCCAGAACTGTGAGAAATAAATGTCTCTTGTTGCAGCCCCCCTAGCCTGTAGTTTTTTGTTACGGCAGCCTGAGCTGACTAATGCCATGAAAGTAGAGTTCTTTTCTGTATCTCCGTCTTCCTGGCTACAAGAGAAATTCTAGGTATACAGTAGAAATGTAGGAAGTTTATGCCATATGACTACAGTTTTTAAAATGTTTATCTTCAGAGTGGCTACTGAAAAGGAGCATTGTTGCAACATGATATAAACTGTAAGCTGAGCTGGGTTACAAAAGTTTTTTCAAGCATTGCATAAAAATATGGGTCCCTTTTTAAAACTAGGTCACCAAACTGTTTTCAAGATGGAGTTCTGAATGAATGCACTGTTTCAAATAATACTGCAAATAGTCAACTGAGATTTTTCACTGTTTACTTACTCTGTTGTTTCTCTGTTGTGAACTTTTCTCATGGAGAAAGCCACCATCGCTTTGAAGAGATACTCTTCATTTGTATCCCAGGTGTACTAAAAGAGAGGCAAAGCAGAAAATGTGAGAATAAAGGCATGGGATAAAGAAACGGTCCACCAGCACCAGAATCTAACTGTGGCCACAGTGGTTTTAGCCCCCTCTCCCTCTCCCTCTCCCTCTCACGCTCTTGCATCCTTCCCATACATTCAAGGCTGGAGACCGTGATAAATCATGTCCCATAATGTTAGGGTCGCGTTTCTTGGACATTCTATCATTCCCAGTGTGGCGCTGCTTTCTGTTGCATCTCTTCCTTCAGAACCTGCTGTAGTAGCTGCCGGTCAACAAACAGGGTGTGTGGACATCTCATCTTGGACACACACAGTCAGTTCCCTTCCTTTCTCTCTTCCCTCAAAAAATGAGCCCCCCGCTCACTTTCTTTCCTTTATTAACATTGGTATACTTTTCTTTTTATCTTTTTAGCTGGAAACTTGAGTGTATGTGCATGGTATGGGCTGAATAGTGTCCCTCCTGCAAATGACATGTTGAAGATTTTTCACTGTTTGCTTACTCTGTGAGTAAGTCCTAGTCCCCAGGACCTCAGACTGTAACCATGTTTGGAGATAGCATCTTACAGAGATGACTAAGTTAAGATGGGATCATTAGGATGGACCCTAATCCAATATGACTGGGGCCCTGGTAAGAAGAAGACAACTGGACAAAGACGTGTACAGAGGGGAAGACACAGGGAGAAGACAGCCATCTACAAGGCAAGGAGAGAGGCTGGGACAGACCTGCCCCTCACAGCCCTCAGAAGGAGCCACCCCCCGCCGACACACTGATCTTGGATTTCTACCCTCCAGAACAGAGGGGAAATTAATTCCTATCACTTAAGCCACCCAGTCTGTGCTACTTTTCACGGCAGCCTGAGCAAATGAATGTGGCTGGCCCCACATTTCAGGTGAGTAATCACGTAGAACAGGAGACAGTCACAAAGCAGGGTTTGTTGGTCTAACTCTAAATTCATGATTTCCTTCCCAGCATCCTGGGAAAGCCTTCAGTGTCTCCGTCAGTTTTCAATCTCTCACAGCTCACAGCGACTATTTCCAACCTCCCTCAGGCCCCCCCACATCCCAGTCGTCACCCTTGCCAGATGGTTGTTTCATATTCACAATTCAGAGGTACATCTCAAGCCATAAGGGGAAGCTCGCCCACCCTCCTACCACAGACCACGAGATGTCCTCCATGGGCACACATCCTATGCGTGCCCTCCCCGGACGGCCAGGTGTGTGTGGGGCTGCTCCTCCCACCGAGGGCGATCCCACCAACGCTATTAGGAAGGCTCCCTTTCTGCCTGTCCCAGGATCTAAGCCATACCAGTTTTCCTCCTCTCTTCTGTGTGCTGGACTCTGACTGGAGCCTGTCCATTGCCTTCAAACCACTCCCAAGTCTCTCCCATCAAGACAACAACACAAACAAATCACTTTACTCAATACTCCTCCACCCACCTGCTGCTGTCTCTCCCCATACCCCTCCCAGGCACAATGCTCAAGAAGGGGTCCACATGTCCATCTTTACTTGCTCCTGACCTGCCTCCATGTCCACTGTTCCACAGAAATGGCACTCCCTGAAGTTACCAATACCCTCCACACCCCTCAACCCAAAGAGTGCCTTTCAGCCTCACCGTGCTTGGCTTCTCAACAGCGTAGGCCACTCTTGAGCACTCCTTTCACCTCAAGTACTCCCTTCCCTTTCGTGATACACCATTCCGCTGCATCTCCTCCTGCCCCTCTGCTCCTGTGAAGGCTCACCCTCTCCTACAAGGGCTTTCCTCTTGAGAACCTCTCAGTGCTAGGCTAGACCCTCTCTTCTTGTGGCTCTGTACTTTCTCCCTCAGCAACGTCATCTACTCCAGGCTTCCGTCATCACCTTAGTGCCAATGCATCTCACGCCTGCTTTGTCCTTGCCCATTTGTCCACAATGTGGCAAACTCAAGCAGTCCAAAATGAAGGCCATGTGTTCGTGTCCATACCTGGCTCCCTAACTCATAAATGGGCCACCAGCCATTCAGCTGCATAACCAGAAACAAAAGCTTCCTCCTTGAGCCCTCTGTTTCCCTTCCCTGTCATACACTCCCTGTGGCTCTCAAATCCCTTCCCTCCACCAACACGCTGGACTCCAGACAGGCAGCATTTCTCACCTGCGTTCCTCGAACCGCCTCCTTGGTGAGTGCCTCCTTCCGACTCTAGCCCAGCCCGCCCTCCACACTGGCCAGCATGGGCCAGACACAAGCTCTATCGTGACATCTCTTCCCCCAAACTCCCACCTGCTTAAAGGCAGTACCCAAACTCCGAGACACAGACCACACATTCTTCGGCTGACCCCTCCTTTCTCTTGACGTTCATGACATGCCCTGTTCTTCCTCCCTGCTCCAGTTCCAGGCAGCTCAGCTTTCCTTCCATCCCTCCCTCTCACCGAGTTCCTTCTTGTAATAAATAGCCTTTGCACACACTGTTCCCTCTACTCTTTATTCTCTTATTCCCTGATTCACTTCTACTCCTGCTTTAGACCCCACAGCAAATGCCAAGTACTGAGGCCTCTGCTGAGTCCCAAACCCTCATGTACTTCTCCTTCCTGTAATACTTATCCAGATGGCACATTTCCATTTGGTTTACTGATGCCTACTGGACAACCTATGTCCCCACTGCTATAAGCTCCATGAGGGCAGAAGCAAGCCTGCTTGCAGCTGCCATTGCATCCCCAGCACCCAGCATGGTGACTGGCCTCAGAGGATCCTGGGATAAGCGCCCCTACACACAGGTAGAGAGAGTGGATTCTGCTCAGCCTGCCTGCTTCAAATCTTATCTCTGCCACTGCTGACTTGAGATCCTGAGTAGGTCACTTACTTTCTCTGTCCCTTGGTCTTCTCATCTGCCCAGTGAGAATGTGAACACCCATACCACCTGCCTCCATGGGTTGTTGTGAGGGCTACATGAGCTGTGAGTAGAAGTGCCTGGAAAGGCTCAGTTGGAAAACAACCTGAGTTCTCTATAGATGCAGGCTGTTAAAATGCTTATTACTCAGCGAGTGAATAAAATGATATATTGGCGGATTGGTCTGCAAACAGAGCACATGCCTCTATAATTCTCTGGTGCTCTTTCACTCTTTCTAGCCTGAGGCATCTTAACATCACCTTCTATGCGGGAAGAACACCACAAACCACATTGAGATACTGGAATTAGATTGAAACAATGTCATCTTATTAATTGGACAGTCTTTGTGGTGCCTATAGCTATGTGAGTCCTGTGAGTATTTTTTTTACCTTCAATTTCATCAGCATATATTGCATGTTGTTGCTCTGATATTTGAAAAGAATTGAAGAAACATCATGTTAGAACTGGAAAATTTTTGTGCTGACAGACCTTACGCAGGTGGAACCAAAACTGAGGCTGGCAAAATCCAAACCGCTGCAGCAGTGAGGGACAGAGCCCAGGCCAGACACGACGGCCTGACTGGGGCCCTTTGCTCCGCTATGCTGGGTTGGAATGTTCAAGTTTGCTAAACTACGCCATGCAATACACGCTTCACATGTTTTCTGGCACATACTGCAGATTAAATACTTTAGGCAAAATCATTTTATTAACAATTTCTAACTCACGATAATTTCTTTTTCTTTTAAGAATAGATCAGATTTGAGGTCTTTAGAAGTAATCTATACAAGCTTAAGATAACTATGCAGAGAGGCTCATTAAGAAGGCACAGTGCTGCTAACAAAAGTCAAAATGAACATGCAGGTCCTCTACTTACTGCTTTCTCTCCCCGAGCTGTTCTGATACTAAGTCTCACTTTAAAAGCATTTTCTGCATCTGCCAGAAAGAAAAAAGAGAGAGCAGTGTGCGATGATAAAATCTGCCCAAATGGAGCCTGATAAATCCCAATATTTTTTTTAGGTAACTCAAACCAACAGAACACAGAACTGAAATTCAACTGCCCCCAAATACTCCTGAAAGGTTAACTGCAATCACCTTAGATGGTTTTAAATTCTCCTTCAAACTCATAAAACTGTCACAGGCTCAACTTGCAAACTACAACACTCTGCAGATTCAGAAACATAAAGAGGTCTCTCAGCCAGACTTGTCAATCATTTAGAAAACTGTTACTCGATTTTTAAGTTTCAAGGCTACGTACCTGGCTGACAGAGTTCAGCGTGAATAGCGGTGACCAGGAAAAAAAGCAGCCACAACATTCTTTCAGAGTGAAAAACACAAGGCAGACGGAGGGGGAAAAATCCACTCTCCACTTACAGCTGCCTTAGCCATTCTGTGACCGGGATTAGAGCAACAGAGAAGCAAGCCAGCCACCACCTAAAAGGTTTAACGATTAACCCCCATCATTTGGGTTAATACTCGGATAGAAGAAAGATACTTTGATACTCTTCTGTCACTTATTTACGAAAATCTATTTGGAGAACGGATTAGTTGTCTTTTCCAAACTCTACCTCCCAAGAACGTTTCCTGGGCTGACTCAAAGTCGGAATCCTGCCCCGCCCCTTCTGTTATTGGCTGCTTAAGTGCATGGTGGAAAGAACTGAGACCCCTCCGGAGCTGCTCCTTGCCGTGAACTGTCCATCTCTTCACGGCTAAAATACCTGGCTCACAGATAGGCTATCTTAATTTGGGACGCAAACATTGGTCCTTTCTATCTGGTGAACAAAGGGCGCCCTTCCACGAATGGCCGCCCCTGACTCTCACCCCTGCAGGCCAACCTCGGAGGAGAGCTGCCCATTCAGAGGGGATGGAAACGGGCTGTGTCCCTAGACGCAGGGGTGGCCATGCCGGCGCCCTGGAGCACACGAACTGGGACTGCAGCTGCTGGGAAACTGGACTTTTATTAATGTCTTTTGAGTAGCCACCTGTGGCTGGGGACTGCCCTGGTCCGAGCATCTACAGAACAGGAATTACGAGCTACTTACCACGAGCGAGGCTGGCTGGGTCCTTTCTCCGACCCCCAGACAGTACCTCCAAGTTGCTGTTGTTACACTCACGTCACACAGGAGGGAACTGAGCATCCGGTGTCTAAGGCACTGCTGGCAACGAGAGCAGTGGAATGGGTGGCACTCTGCCAGCCTGGCTGACTTACACTTGAGCCCCATCTGCACCACCCTGCACCCCACGGCGTCTGGGGTCATCACTGGTCACAGCTGACCTTGCAGCGAAATCTTGGAGATGCTCTGAGGATTGGGGTGGCGAGTGGAAGGCACTCTGTCCCACGCTGGGTGCTCGACGGGGGCCAGCAGAAGCCCTGGGCAGCTTGCCGTGAGGGCTCTCCTCTCGGCATGAATACGGTCCCCTAGTTCCACCCTGGTGCTTGGAAACCATGAACACAATCAGGGTGGGTGACCCTGATGTGAAAGAGAAAATCTGGATTTTTAAAGCAGCAGTGCGAAAAACAGCAGCAACGACACTTCCGTGACACTTTGGACGTCGTACCATTTCCTGTCCCAGTCGGGGTGACGTTGTGTCACAGATAGCCCGTTTCTGCTCGCTAACTCCAGCCGAGGCAGCTTCTCCTCCCCTCCTGGCCTTGGTGCAAGGGCTCAGTCAGAAGTTCTCCTAGAGGGAGAAGCAGCCAGACGTCAGCCCAGTGGTTCTAGAGATTTCACTGCTCAGCAAAACGGAAATTTCCCAAAAGGAAGAGCTTCCACATCTAACGCCTGAAAACAAAGCCAGACTAGATGAAGCTACCTTGAGGAATTTCAGACTAGATGAAGTCATCATGGGAAGGAAAAGCCAGTAGAGAGAGACTGTAACAGTAGATAGAAATTGTATCTTCTGGAGGATAAACCAGTAGAGGTTGTAGATGGAGATTTGCATCAAGAAGCAAAGCCTTGTTAGAGACACGGAAATCTGCGTCAGCTTTCCCTTTGGCTTAAACTTGGTAAAAGTAACATATATATATATACATATATATATACATATATATATATATTTCTCCATTTGCTTTTATTTAGTCTCCTGTGGGACCAGGATTGAAGGCAGGAACATACTGAACTGAACATAGTACAAGCCATTCCTTTGAAAAGAGAAAAATACCTTGAATTATGATTCTCAATGCTTGTTGTCTCATTTTAAAAAGATAAAAAGAATAATAGAAGTTCTACATAGAAAATACAGAGACAAAAAAAGATGAAAGTACAAAATATCTATACCACCACCAGCATGACCAAAGTTAATGTCTTAATAGTTGTCACATGCCTTCTTAGCTTCAGACCCACCTGTGTGTTCTTGTGTGAGGTCACTGTGTCACGGCAGCACCGTCAGAGCAGGGGGACCTAATGGTGGGAAGCACCTGGGCCCTTTCCTCCCTCACTCATGGGAGTGCTGCCCCTCCACAGGACCTGGTGACGTTCTGTAAATCTCATGTGTCTGTCATGAGATGAGTCTCCTTTTAGTTCTAACTCACTAAAAATTCTTTGTATCAATAATTGATGTTGAATTTTATTGACTGCCTTTTCAGCATTTATTAATATAATCCTAGAGTTTTTACCATTTGGTGAATTATATTAATGAATTTCTTTGCATTGATCCAAGCCAACGTAAGCTCAGTTTGATGATTTTTAACATACCTGTGGACTTCATTTTTCCTTAGGTTTCATTGTGGTTTTCCTTAGGTTTTAAAACCTATATTCATAGAAGAATATCACTTAGGTTCCTTTTCAAGGGCTTATTCTTGAGGTTTATTTTTTTCTGACCCTTATGTTACCATCTTGAAAATAGTAGAGAACAATTTCTAACATTATCTATGTTTCCAAATACTTACAAATGCAGAAGAAATAAAGATGTCGGAGTTGAAGAATCTGGACCCTACGTATTTGTGGGGAAGGGTTCATTCAAAATCTTCATTTCTTACATTGTCACTTATTGCAGGCTTCATATTTCTTTCTGAGTCCATTTTGGCTGTTTACAATTTCCAAGAAAATCATTAATTTCGTCAAGATTTTCCAGCATTTTCCTGGAGCTTAGACAGTATTTCCCATAAAATAACTATATTAGTTGCTGTGGTCCATTTATGCTTTCTAGTGCATACACTATATTTTTTCTTCATTTTCCATTATTCTTACCAGAAGTTTATCTATTTTCATTGTTGCTTAATCAAAGAACAAGATCTTGAATTTAATTTTCAATTCTTTTCTTTCTGCTTTCTGATTCACCAATCTTATTTACATTTATTAAGTCCTTACTCCCATTGGCATATACTGGTTTTCTTGTTCTTATTTATAATGCTTGAGTTGGCTAATAGGCTTATTTATTTGTAATCTTTCAGTTAATAAGGAAAATATCCGTGGCTATGAATGTTCCTTGGAGTACTCTTCTGGCCACATAAGAAGTACAGATGGACAGTGATCTCATTCTTAATTTCTAAATAGTCTATAATCACAGTTTTAGTTTTTCTGTACCCCAGTATTTGCTTAGAAACTTGACAATAGCAAAAGCAACAGATGCCAAAAATGGCATGATGAATAACTTTAACACATACTGTCAGATGAATAGAAAAAGTATGATAAATAAGACACACAGTCAGTAACTCTTACAAGGCAAGGATCACACAGAATGTGCTAACAATGATTTAATAACTAAAGACCTTGATAACTCATTAAAATAGGTGGGACACAACTATATAACATACTGTCTTTTTTTCTTGCACTTTTCAAAATCTTGTACAATCTTTATTTTCTATGCACAACGTTGTTTTAAACCTGCAGAGTATTCAAATCAAACTTGGTTCATACAATGCTCATTTCAGCAATTTCACCTATAGGAGCCTAAGAATTTATCAGCAACAGTGGTAATGAGGAGAAATAGAGCAGTTTCAGTTATTCCGAAAATGTTGCTATTTACTTCCAATGTTCAGAGTTTAGAGAACACAGATAAAAAGCTGAGATTAGTGTTGCCATGAGCAATACAAAAGGCACCGAGTCTCCCAAGACAGGAAAAAGAAATTGATTTCTCTGTGCTTTTTCATACTCTATAGTACTATTGAAAAGCAGTTTCTCAGCACGTAACTATTGATCTATTGCTCTCAGGGTAAATTAAATATGAGATCACACGCAAAGAAAACATGTGAGTCATTCTTTTGATTTCATGTGAGATGCCTCTTAAAGTTTACCACAGTTGTAAAAGCACATGGGGATATGTATGCTCCATTTACTGCAGTAAAATAAGAGGTAGGAAGGACCCATGCCACTTCTCAATTTTGACCCGGATTATTCGGTTTCATTATTACACACAATTTTATTAAACCTATAGCACCTAAATGTACTACAGTAAAGTATGAAACCATTTAAAATGTGATGTTACTCTGTACATTTTTATTGCTTTTTGAGAAATGCATCTGGCTGTGACACGTTAAAGAATCTAATAAAACCTTTAATCACTGAATATGGAAATCTTTTATAAGATAAATAGCCCTGCACTTTTAAAACTAGCATCTCAATTTTATTTAATACCACTCACTAATTTTGTAGAAGTCGTACATTTTTAATGAAATGTGATCCTTCACGGTTCAATTGGAATGAACTTGGTATATCTATGTAATAAACAATTTCAAGAGGTTTATAATAATTACCCCAATATCTTCAGATTAATTAGAGAGGTAACAAGCTGATTCTACTCTCTTGTATGCTATCATCAGGTAAAGATACATATGGGGATAAAAGATTTTTGCCTCTGTGCAAGCCTATTGTATGTTAACCCAGTGGTTCACAATCAGGGCAATTTTGCCCCCCAGAGAACATTTGGAAATAATCTGGGGGCATTTTATTACAACTGTAGGGGGCAGGGATAGCGAGTCCCATGGCATGGAATAGATTGATAGGCAGAGATGAGGGAGGCAGCTAAACATCTTGCAGCACACAGGACAGCCCCTTACAACAAAGAGTTATCCAACCCCAAATGTCAGTAGTGCTGAGGCCGAGGACCCCTGTCTAACCTAATGGTGCCACCTCCCTTGTGCAGGTGCTTTTAGGCAATGGACCATACGTTTCTTCCCAGTTTCCCAATACCCGAAACAGCAACTTTGGATCTAGCACATTGGAGACAATTATTTGGCACTGACACCTTGATAAATTGGCATCAGTACTTAGGTGTAAAAATAAGTGAGTCGGATGTCATATTCTGAGGCAAACCTCCGAGTTGTATGTGTAGTGGTTTTCTCGTTAAATGTTGAGGTACTGACCATCAGGTTCAGTCTCAACTGCTGCGTAGAAGCTTCTTCTTAGGGGTGCACAGTGGACTGTGAGTTCTCAACCTGGACACGTCAGTGTTAGACTGAAAGGAACAGTTCGCACTT